TTCTGATAATAACAATTGTCCTCATAACTATTGTAAATTCAAACAAAGATTTAATGTGAATTCTCAATAGAATTTTGGAAAAACTGAATCTGAATAGAAAAGAAGTACCTGTCTAATGATATGAATGAGTGATACTGATAAAGTTGAACCTGTTTTTAATGCTATAAAAGTTGGTCTTCCAAACTAGGTTTGAGATATGAAAAACAAAACATTTGTTGTGTACTGAATAATGCTGGGTGGGTTCTTCGATCGGAAAGTGCCAGGCATAGAAGAAGTTGAGAGATTGCAACAATTATAGTTTCATTTTCTATCCTCAGACCCAGTTGTGGTAAGGCAGGAGAGTACTGTACTAACAACAGTGCTTTGTGCAAACTGTAAGAGTGGGTGTGCACATTTATTAGACAGTACTTGTCTGTAGGCCTAGAACATTTGAATAGGGTGCTGCCACCCCATGTTTTGAACACAATCCCATTATCCACTAACGGGCTGCAGGAAGAAAGGTGTAACAGACAGAAAATGCTCTCATAATATGAGACGGTGGCACCAACACAGGTGAGACGGAGGAGGAGACAGCCATAAAAATGAGCCACATTTCTGCAGATGAGGATAGAATGAAGAAAAAGCAATAATGAATGTGTAGGGTGGAAATAGAGATGGAAGAATAAAGGGTGAGAGAAAGAGAAGCGTGAAATGAAATAGTGATGGTCCCTGATCCGACTAACAGCAGCTGCCATTACATCTAAAATCTGGTTTTAATGTTTATCTGTAGTGTCACATGCTCTAAGTCTGAAGCTTCTTATCCAGGTGCTTAAGGCTCTGAGTTTGGTCCGCTAAGGACACATCAGCCTGGGAGCTCCACAGACAACAGAGCAATTGAGCGCTCGCTGTCAGATCACAACACATCGTCTTGATGTACTGCAGAGCCGACGTGTTTTAATATCCTTCGTGTTGGGTCTGTTGGCTGATCGTACTTGATCTCACAACTGAGCAGCATGCTGCCTGATGCAATGCAATGACGTTCACAGATTCCCACTGGTGTCTAGAGAATGTTGTAATCATAAGGATGCCTCGCCCTGCATCCACTGGGTTCTGGATGCACTGCTTTTTTAATTTACATTCATCTGATCGCATGATGCAGTCTATAAAGTAAGATAAGCAATTAAATCATCACACAACTAGAGAAGATCGATAATTAATTTTCCAATTTGCTCCTGAGCCACATGTTTAGACATCTAAGAATATAAAGAACTTTACAAAGTGGCATCCTCTATCAGTCTGCCATTGCAAAAATAGAAACAAAAGTGTGGGGTATTATTCTTGGTATGAGTCATCTGTGACCCCTGTTTTTTAAATCAGTTTTTTTAATGACTCATTTTATTATCTCTTATCCCTGTTCCCTCGCACCTCCAACCCCCAACCCCACAGGAACCTTGTATCCTTGACCCACAACCGTTATTTTCAACTGTCTTTTGCCTAAACTTACTTTTAGAAAACGACATATGGTAAATCCCCATTGAAGAAGCAACTGTGATCTTTTCTTCTAATCAATATTTCCATTTGGGAACCTTTGGACAACCAACGTAAACACACTGGGCTGTGTTGGTCGCCTTTAAATATACATTTTGCTCTGCTGATGTCTTCGGATCACCTGTTTAAGATGGAACATGCGCGGTGGGAAGGAGGCTGGCCAAGAATCTGCGTTAAGATAACAAGTTACACAGAACAGAGCGGATATCATCATTTTCTTTTCAATGTAAAAGCAGGAAGGCGTCCCCGGTAGAGACAAATTGCAAGACATTTTCAAATTAAATTTGGCCTGGAAGTCTTTCCATTTACGTGGTACTATAGTTTCTTGCAGCACAGATCCAATATACATGTATTACAAGTTTCCACTTACGCCCATGAGTTCAAGTTGATAAGTGCTTTTCTCTGGAGTAAAAAAAAAGTGGCATTTTACTTTGTAGAAAGATAGCGGAAATGATATGTTGTGCCTCTGAGAAATAGTAAACGTGAGACCCCCCTCACCGTAACTGTGGTGTACAGCTGCAGAGATGCGAGACACAGAAAAACAACGAGAAATGCAAGAAATGGAGAGGCGGGCCAGGGCAGGGATCTAATCCAGATTCATTTACCATCAAAGATGCTTCGAGGCACAATGGATTACCGTCTTCACCGTATTTTTTGGAGATAAAAAAAAAAAAAAAAAAACCCAGGGGCAAAAACACGGGGGGGGACCCGGGCGGCGCGCAAAGGGGGGGGGGGGGGAGGGGAGGGGTCGATCATGGGGAACGAAGCGAGCCTGGAGGGAGGCGAAGGGCCGCTGCCGGGGGGGCTGGCACCGGACGGCAAAGGGGGCTTCGTCCGGGTGTCCGACGGGACTCCGGTGGACCTGAGTCAGCTCGGCGAGGAGGAGAAGAGGCAGCTGGCCGCGGCGATGTCAAGGGCGCAAAGCAGGCAACCCGGGGCCGCAGCGGCTGCAAGGAGGCAGGGAACCTCATCCGCATGCTTTCGTTTGTCCAGAAAAAACACCAGCGACAGGGCGCACGGGAGAGCGGGGGCTCTGGTTCTGTTGGAGCACCATTGAGGGGAGAGGCAGTAAAGGACAGGGGAAAGCCCGCACACGCCCATTTTAACATCCTATAAAACCGCATTAGGAAACGATAGTTCGGATCATCAACATCTGACGACCTGAGCGCAGCTCTGCTTCTAACAGAACACGCAGAGTAGCGATAATCAAAGTTAATTCGAGCTGCAGAATCTTGTGATTCTGCTGTACCTAAATTGCATTCGACTAAACGATGATCCGGTGTTTAATGTAGAAAAGAATGGAAGGATTTGATCAGTATTTTGGTGATATGTCCATATTTGAGATCAGAGAGGAACCTTGCCTTGGAGACACACCTCCAACTGTATTTGTAAGAAATTCTCGAAATGCCTGCTGGGTAAGAATAGCTGTCGTGCCTTGTGCCCCCCCCACCCCCCCACCCCCTTTCCCCATTAAAACGACGCTTGAAGACCAAGCTAAACAAATACGTTTTGTGTCCCCACTCTGAAATTACCAGTTTAACTGCGCACTCCTGAATTCCACACCACATTTCATTCGGTTTCAAAGGAAATGTGTTTGGATGGAATGTGTTAAACGCTTCCATTAATCTTCAGAATTTTTTTGTTTGGTGTTGCATTCATGGCAGAGGGTGAGAAATCTATCTAGGTATCAGGTAAAGTAATGCGCGTCACTAATTGGCTCCAACTGGGGAGAATTGTTATTTATATCTGAGCCAGAGATGGGGGGATGGGGCCATCAATATTAATATGACTATAAATAGATCACAGTCGTTAATGTAATCTCTTTAGCCTCCCCCTGCTGCATTTGGAGAGCGTTTTTATTCTAAAAAAAAGTCAAGTTTGAAATCTTGGGTTGTAGAGGCGTTAGTCCTGGAGTCCCTGTCCATGGTGCTGAAGGCTCTGCTCTCCCTGGTGCTGAAACTGCAGTGAACTGGCTTCCAGCCGGCATTACAGCACTGCTTACAGTGTTTGCTGTGCTCGGACGGTCGTTTTGTTCCTCACGTTCCCTTACAAGAATAACCAGGAGCTGTATCCATTGCAGCATTGCGCCGTAATGCCCGATTAAGTAAACTGGTCAAGGCGAAAACAACACAGACTTCAGTGTATCAATATGGGGAAGCAGCACGTCTGCTTTACATGCATGCATCATCATGCAACGATAAAGAAACATGCAGCCAGTCCATTAGAGCACTGATGTATTTCTCTAAAGAACCAGTAGGATTGCGCTTTGTGCTTTTTGTGGGTTGTGTGTGTAGCCTCCTGCTTGACCTAACAAAGGCTTCTCGGTTTACTCTCGTGTAGCTGAACATTTCTCGCAATCTCAACAATCTACCTTCCGTGTCATTCATCGCCATCTATGCCCCTGTCAGCGTTGCCCCCAGGCTGCTATTGCCACACATTCTGCATTCACTGATGTGTTGAGCAGGCCTAACTGTTGGTGATATGGCCTGAGCCGAGTCAGTACAGAGCATTTTTGTCAATGGATCAATGACTACTTATAGGCTGTTTATTCGTTTTTATTATCTATTTTGATTCTGTTTATAAAGGCAAATGGATATCTGGAATTGAATGTTAATGAATGAGAATGTGTGGTTGCAGCAACTCTTTTTGTTTCTTTTTGGGGACAGCACAACTTCAATGTTATCGTTAAATGTACAAGTGTTGACCATGGCCTTCTTTTGAACTCTTACTAGATCAAAGCTTATCATTTAGGATATCAAGGATTAACACATAGAACCTATCTAGCGAAACTGAATTTTAAAACCTTTTAGAGAAAAAGATTCTTGGAAACAGTTGGGTCTGTTATTTTTGTTTTGGAGCAGCTGAAAGTTGGTGTGTACTTGGTGAACAAGATTTATCTCAGTGACAGTTTAATGTAAAATGACAAAGAATATTTTTGTGTCTCCTTTCCAGACCATCAGAAGCTGATGCCCAGCAGCGTTATCAGCAGGTAGGGGCCTCCAAGGGCCCACCGGGTCTCAGTAAAAGCCGAACTGTTGACGCCTTTAACCAGGGTCCACCTGGCAAGCCCCCACCAGGCCGCAGCCCCTCATCCCTCAGCCTCTTTGAATCCAGATTCCGGCAGGAGCCAAAAACCACTGAGGCCAAGTCATCCAGCATGTTTGGCTCCAGCTTCCTCAGTGGGGCAAACCCCCTCAATGCCGTATCATCCATGACTTCTTCAGTTTCATCATCTATATCCTCCATGGGTGACTCTGTCAACATCCCCAAGTTTGGATTGTTTGGGGATGAAGAAGAGGAGGATGCCACCGCAACAGAATCCAAGCAGGGTGGAAAGGGCCCACCAGGGAAGGGACCTCAGCAAGGGCCGGGTCCAAAAGGCCCACAGCAGGGAGGGCCCCAGAGGCAGAGTCAGGGTCCTCCTGGGCAGGGGGCAAAGCCAGGGCAAGGACCACCTGGTCAGGGACCCAGGCAAGGTCAGGGACCACCTGGTCAAGGGCCTAAACCAGGTCAAGGTCCTCCTGGCCAAGGACCACCTGGTCAGGGACCCAGGCAAGGTCA